GGTTTTGTTGATTAACTTGAATTATTGATTGTAATGGAAATTTAGGGTTTTCATGGCCTTTTTAAACTATGCATATGTACAAGTACATATAACGCTACGCATCCAAGTCCACGGACGAAATTTTTCCAGATTTTTGGTGCAGTACACACTGGCCGAACCAAAAAAAAAGGTATTTAATATTAACGAGTAAGGCTTAATATTTCCGGAAAGACACCCAGTTTTTTTATAAAAAAAAACACTAAAAATAAGATAATAACCAATGCCTATTTATTGCTTCAGGGGTTTCAATGATTTCCTTAATTTTATATTTTCGTGAAATTAGAATTTTAGAACAAAAAAAAGTGAAATATTTCCAGAAGTTCACTTTTAGGTGGAAAAGGATTTTTTATTTAATTCGCTTGTTTCTCCAAAAGTGTTCAAATGGCATATATGGGAAGTTGTTGCTGAAGAAAGATTAAACAAAAAACCTGCCTCCCAAGAAAAACGTCACGTTAATGTCTTGAAGAAGGCGCAAAAAATCTCCAACATTGGCTTATCTGATAAATGAGTTTAAAAGTGATATGCAAATGTTACATTCTGGAAAATATTTTACAAAAATGCAAAAATAAGAACAAAAATTAATTTTTGAAAAGCATGAAAGCAGTTTCGTATTCGCGTCAGTAAACGATTTTAGAGGATAAGATTATCAATCTTAAAAAAAACTATATAAAAAACCTGCCATGAACACTTTGTTTGAAAATTACCCATATTCATATGTCTGTCTAGTCTTTTAAATTTTGGTACTTTTTCGGCTGATTTAGTATATTCTTTTTGTCCATTTGGTACAAAAATTAAAAACTCATTTATCATCCCTGGCATAGAATTCAAGCGAAGGGTTGAAGTCAAATCGAAGTAATTTTGTTTTTGTTTTCTTCGCTATTCTCGTCGCTTTGCCGGCCGCTCACATGTATGTATGTTTGTACGTGTATTAAGCAGTGTTGCCGGAGAAAAATTTCGTTTGGAGCTAAAACGGTCGAAATAAAGAGCTAAAAAGAGCTTGATAATACTAATAGTAGCTAAAATGAAGAGCTACATATTTTTGTCAAGGTTGAGCATTTATTGACGTAAGGTTTTTCTTACATATTCGTCAATTTTAATAAAAACAACGCATTTTATAAATTTAAGTGCTGAAAAAAATCTCTTAAAACCAAAATAAGATGCATATATTTCGAGTTCGTTGCTATGGCACTTATAACAGTGAACTAAAAATACTTTACAAACTGTTGAAGTCTGTAATTTCAGATATTTGAATTGAATAATTTTTTCGCAAAATTTTAGTGGAAAGTTTTACTTCTAGCTCTCCTTAAAGGTAAAATTAGTAAGATAAAACAAAATCCGCGCTATCAGAAAAAGGATCCAAGGTACCTAGATCCAAGAGTTTATGGTNAAAAAACACTAAAAATAAGATAATAACCAATGCCTATTTATTGCTTCAGGGGTTTCAATGATTTCCTTAATTTTATATTTTCGTGAAATTAGAATTTTAGAACAAAAAAAAGTGAAATATTTCCAGAAGTTCACTTTTAGGTGGAAAAGGATTTTTTATTTAATTGTCTTGTTTCTCCAAAAGTGTTCAAATGGCATATATGGGAAGTTGTTGCTGACGAAAGATTAAACAAAAAAACCTGCCTCCCAAGAAAAACGTCACGTTAATGTCTTGAAGAAGGCGCAAAAAATCTCCAACATTGACTTATCTGATAAATGAGTTTAAAAGTGATATGCAAATGTTACATTCTGGAAAATATTTTACAAAAATGCAAAAATAAGAACTAAAATTAATTTTTGAAAAGCATGAAAGCAGTTTCGTATTCGCGTCAGTAAACGATTTTAGAGGATAAGATTATCAATCTTAAAAAAAACTATATAAAAAACCTGCCATGAACACTTTGTTTGAAAATTACCCATATTCATATGTCTGTCTAGTCTTTTAAATTTTGGTACTTTTTCGGCTGATTTAGTATATTCTTTTTGTCCATTTGGTACAAAAATTAAAAACTCATTTATCATCCCTGGCATAGAATTCAAGCGAAGGGTTGAAGTCAAATCGAAGTAATTTTGTTTTTGTTTTCTTCGCTATTCTCGTCGCTTTGCCGGCCGCTCACATGTATGTATGTTTGTACGTGTATTAAGCAGTGTTGCCGGAGAAAAATTTCGTTTGGAGCTAAAACGGTCGAAATAAAGAGCTAAAAAGAGCTTGATAATACTAATAGTAGCTAAAATGAAGAGCTACATATTTTTGTCAAGGTTGAGCATTTATTGACGTAAGGTTTTTCTTACATATTCGTCAATTTTAATAAAAACAACGCATTTTATAAATTTAAGTGCTGAAAAAAATCTCTTAAAACCAAAATAAGATGCATATATTTCGAGTTCGTTGCTATGGCACTTATAACAGTGAACTAAAAATACTTTACAAACTGTTGAAGTCTGTAATTTCAGATATTTGAATTGAATAATTTTTTCGCAAAATTTTAGTGGAAAGTTTTACTTCTAGCTCTCCTTAAAGGTAAAATTAGTAAGATAAAACAAAATCCGCGCTATCAGAAAAAGGATCCAAGGTACCTAGATCCAAGAGTTTATGGTGGATACATTGCATCTCGAAATTTTCCATTTTATCAACGCCTAAGCTTTGGCTTATACATATATACCAAATGCAACTAAAACTTTCTGAAGCTAAAAAAGTGCTACATAAATTTGAAAAGAGCTAAAACAGAGCTAGGAGCTAAGACCCGATTTTCGGAGCTAAATAGAAAAATAAAAAGCTAAATCTAGCTCCAAAAGCATCAAAATGGCAACACTGGTATTAGCTACAATGCAAAAACGCGACTACTCCAAGTAAAAGCCTGATTATGGCAACTTAAGAACTTGGAGAACTTAGAGAATCAAAATGAAACAGATTTCGACGTGGCATTAAGTTACGTTTAGTTTCGGCTGTTCAATTATAAGCAACATCCATTTAACAAAATTTTTAAGTGAGAGCCGTAAGTTACGTGAAGTTGCCACAATCAGACCATAAAGACCATATACTCAAGTTCTGCATTACATCAGAGTAGCACAAAGCTTATTCAAGGGATTAATCCAAGGAGTATCCACCTCTCGGCAATACAGGCTAATAATCCTCGTGTAGGGATTACGATCGTTAAAACTCGAGCAATGATCGGGTAACAATAAGCTGGTGTAGCCAATAAGCTAATAAAAGCTTGTGTGGCTGTGCCCGTTCATGGCTGGAATTTTCTTATTCTCTCAAAACTGGAGAAAAAATTAAAAGAAAATCAGCGGCATCAATACAAAAGCACAATCTTTCTCCTCTGGTGGTACCAATAGATCGCAGAACACCCTCTACAGCATTATTACCAGGAATGGTAAAGCGTTTCCATTTTCCTCTGATCTCTGCGTGTGCGATAACGATTCATAAGTACCAAAGAAGTAATTTAGTGAGATCGTATACGCTCAACAGCTCCTCTCTCTCTTCTTCTTCTTTATTGGCGCTGTAACCGCCTAAGCGATTTTGGCCGAGTCCAAAACAGCACGCCAGTCATTTCTCTTCTGTGCTAACTGACGCCAATTGGAAATGTCAAGTGAAGCCAAGTCCTTCTCCACCTGGTCTTTCCAACGCATCGCGGCCTGCGTTGAATATTTTCAGAGCAGGAGGGTTTCTGTCCTTTCGAACGAAATGGCCAAGGCAGCGGAGCCGCTGAACTTTAATTCGCTGCAATATGTCTATATCGTTGTAAAGCTCGTACAGCTTATCGTTAAATGNCTCTTCCGTCGGGGCATGGGCGCAGATGAGCGAGATGTTGAAGAATCCAGATTTGATGCGGATTGTGGTTAAACGTTCGTCTNGTCTGCGATATTCGCCATCAGCAACGCGTAAAGGTCCGTAAATCTTTCGCAGAATCTTTCTCTCATCAGATGCTTTAATTGTCCATGCCTCCGCGCCATACACCAGCACAGGTATGATGAGTGACTTACAGAGTGTGATGTTTGTACGACGAGAGATTACTTTACTTCTCAATTGCCTACTCAGCCCAAAGTAGCACTTGTTGGCAAGAGTGATTCTCCGTT